AGGCAGCTCTCCAGCCACTCCTCCCCAAGCCATTGGCGATGTTGGGGGTTGTTGTGGCCGAAGTGCGGGACCTGGCATTTGGCCTTATTGGAACTCATGGAATTGGTCTTGGCCCAGCGATCCAGCCTATCTAGATCCCTTTTGTAGAGCTTCCCTACCCTCAAGCAGATCGACACTTCCACCCAGCTTGGTGTCACCTGCAAACTTCCTAAGGGTGCACTCCATCCCCTTGTCCAAATCGTTGATAAAGATGTTAAACAGGAGTGGCCCCAGTACTGAGCCCTGGGGGACACCACTCGTGACCAGCTGCCAACTGGATTTAACTCCATTGACCACGACTCTCTGGACTCAGCCATCCAACCAGTTTTTCACCCAGCAAAGTGTATGCCCATCCAAGCCAAGAGCAGTCAATTTCTGTAGGAGAACGCTGTGGGAAATGACCCTTGACCCTGTTCTCCACTGAAACCTGTCTCCATTGTGCATCCAGCAGGACTGGACATCTCAGTGTTGTTCCACTGAAGACCTTTAAAAAGTAAATTGCAAATTTCAAGAACTAATTAATATGTTCAGGTGAACAGACCACACTGATGGTGTTTTGTAACAGCACAGACAAAATATTATTTGTTGTGCATGTAGCTCACAGAAAAAGTTTGATCTCATTTTATTGTAAATCCATTGCAGTGCCATTGGCTTCAGTATAGTTGCCCCTAACTTGCCAAGGCACCAGACCTCCTGTATTTTATTTTCTTCTGGAAGAAAACACAACATAAATTTCCAAGGCACATGAATGATCAGAAGAATAGCATGTGTGCCAGCTATTTGCACATTGTGCTCCCGAGTTTTCTGTTTTCTGAGATATTCTGTAATGCTGCATGCACAAGCATTAAGTCATATATATTTGAATGCAGAGTACCCTATTCATGCCACCTAACTAGTCATCTAGATGTTAGGAGCCTCATCCAAGCTAGTTTTGTAGGTACCCTCTGTAGGTACCATTCTTTCCATCCTATGATGGATGGGGTAGACAACGCTGTGGAAATTCTGGTCTTACTCCATAGAAGGAACAACCTAGGAAGCCTTGCTAGATAGCTTGCAATAAATCAAATCAATAGTAGCCATAAAACAGTATTAACTTACAATAGCCAGAGCTTTGTGCAGAATAGTTTTTGGGCTGGCTAAAAGAGTCAAATCTGAGCAAAAAGTTAATGACACGAGGTTGAACAGGAGCAGTAAATGTCTGGGATACTCACTTTGCAGCACGTTCTCTTCAATTGGTTTCGCAAGCTTCCACCAAATGGAGAATGGAGTTGGACAGGTAGTAATGCAAACCATGTTAGAAAATTAAATTGAGAAGCAGACAGTTAACAATAGAATGTCAGAGCACGTGATTGTAATAATTTACTAGTGCTCATGGATTCTGCTGTATGAATGCTACTGCAAAAGGTAGAAAACACTTCTGCTTACCTCATATACAGGAAAAGACCCAAATACTGCACCAGCCTCTCTGTTTCCAGACTCAAAACTTTCCAAAGGTTGTCGATGGATCTGCTCAAGGGAAGCCAAAGTCAGTGCATTACTAGCTGAAGGCAAAAGTAATGAAGACATTACTTCTGTTATTGAATTGCATGGTAACGTTCATATTATCTGAAGAAATGTGTATCATTCCTATGTAGAGAGATTAAGATTTATGCACAGGTTTTCTTTGTACCATGTAAAGCCTGCCTTGAACATTTTTTTTTAATTAGGAGAGTATTATTCTTCTGCTATAGCAAATGCATAACCAGCAAAATTCCCAAGGGACAAAAAATCAAGACAGTTAACAACAAAATGCTTTTTATCACCTAAGTTAAACCTAGTTTTAAACACTTGCTGAGTTCTCTTGCCTATTAAGACTTTGGATAAGCTCAATAAAGGAATGATTTTCAGGCTACTTGTCAGGTTTGGTAGATGCATGCTCTCAGAGAAGAGTGGAAGTCTAGCCAAGGGGTAATGGTGTAAGAACTCCCTCCCAGATGACAGCTTCATCACAGGGCTATCAGTCTGGCTATCCTTTTGTTGGGCTTTGCAAATCACAAACACTTCAGCAGCCAGTTGAAAGATGCAGATGAACAAGACATTTCTGCTGTTAACTGTTGAAAGCCTTGAATTTGAGAAAATACCTTGGGTACCTTGACAGTTCACCCACATTCACATGAATCCTGAGACTTACCTAGGTATTATACTTATGGACAGGGCAGGAAATGAAACTGTCTTTACGTGATGTAGCTGTGATTTCTCCCTAGGAAGCCAATTCATGGTCCTCCAAAAAGGAAAAAAAAATGCACCTACAGCTTGAAATACTACAAAGAACTCTTGTTTCCATCAAATTTGAAAACGTGAATTTAATTTGAAGTGGTACATTATACAGAGATTTTCTACTTACATTTTTTCATGGTCTTACTAATACATTACTGAGTGTCCTGCAGTAGTAACAATTTAAGAGATACCACATCTTCAATGTAAAACATTTCTAAAGGAATCTCTTCCAGTGTCTGCCTGTCAATTCTAAGCATTACTCATGTGCATTAATTACTAGGCATTACCCATTTCAGAAAGGCAGGACAACTGAATTACGGTGAGCTAATCTAGGTATTTGCACAGCCACTGAATAGCATACCTCTAGTCTGAAGTGCAAACTGAAGTCCGCTGGATTGTTCTGCTCTAAGAGAAATTATAGGAAATCAAACCTTTTTCTCATCAAAACCCCATCAGAAGGGGACTCTGGTGCTAACATGTATCAAGTGTCTTCTCCTATGAGACCTTCAGTGAGTCCTCTTTTCAAATGACTAGATAAAACCAAAAGCAGAGCCCACCTTTACTGACTTGTCCCATAAAGTACTCAACCACTGACTTTGCTACAGTAAATTTTGTGTTTTATACCCAGCATCAAAATATTTTTCCTACTAGCACTGTTCTTTCATATTACACAGTCCTGTATCTACAGCTGTTGAACAGCAGGAGACCAGTGATCAACTGCCATTACTCTGTAGTGAATACTCCTACAGCACAAAAGCAGGTACATCAGTTTCCCTGTGACTGAAACACAGGCTGCTCTGGAGGCTATGCAGCACCTGTGACTGGTATAACTGTGACTTAAGGGAGCTCACCAACTTGTTGCTGCCTTGGGATGAAAAAATGGAATATCTCAAAACTTCGTGCTTGACTACCTTTGCTTAGCAGCAAGTAGTCCACTAGCTTCAAATAGTCAAGCATTCAGAGAAGATGAGAGCTAATCTTGTATCCTTGGTGTCCCAGTCAGCAAGGACAAGTGAGAAAGGAAGAACTGGCTGGCAAGACAGGGCAATGAACAATGGAGAGGTGTGTTCTACTCACCTTGTTGTTCTTTCACCCAAGCTACACAGAGAAAAGTAGCTGGTCACATGGAGTAATGCTGTCTTTTACTGACTACTGTTTGGACCTTAGCAGTCCACATTAGGTTATCAGATTGTGGTACACAGGAAACACACACTACCACAAATTTTAGGAAGGGATGTTAAGAGTTCATACCCTTTACTAGCTGTTGACCACTAACCTTTTGGGGAAAAGCAGTCAGGAAGGTGCTAATGAAAGCTTTTTTTGGCAAGTGGCCATAGGATCATCTTCTGTTTCTACTACACCTGCAAGAGAAGTTTTATCTGTTCCCATGACTTTGAAGGGCTAAGCCAGGTAAAGATGGAGTAGCTTCACTGTTATTCAATTAGAATTGTAGAAAGTACTCATAATGATATCTAAACTCGGAACTCTCCTGGTTTCTGATTTCATGGGAACCCTGAAAGAATTATTGTGTATAACTAGGGATTCACTGTTGTTCTAGTATTTTCACACTTTGTTCAAGTAAACTTAAGATATTTAGGATTTCTGTTGGAGCATGTGAAAATTCTAGGGGTTTTTAATGCTATTAAACCAAAAAAGTGATTCAGTGTGTGCTAGCTTCTAAATTGGAATTTGGAAGTGTGAAACAATGAGAGTGAAAACCAGAGAGATTTCTTCAATACCTCAGTGCATGCATTTTTGTTCTAGCTTGTCCTGGGAATGGAAGGATATGTAGGGTTATTTATGGCTAATTTCTAAATGAGAAATACAATTGCATTTCCTATGTGCTTCGTTGCACAGAAAAAGAAAAAAAATTGTCATATACATTAGCTACCTTTGCAGACGCCAGAGCTTTGAAAAACTTCAAGTCCTGAATTATGTCCATATGTTTAGGCTTTTTTAAAGCTGAAAGTGATCTGATCAGTGACTTTCACTTGTACACACAAGACAGAAAAAATCTGACGCTCCCATCAAAATGGCAATTTTGAATGCAACATTCTTAGCTGGTTCCAAAATAGAATTTTTTAAAAGTATAAATTATTCCATATATCTTTAAAATATAATTTATATTAGGACCTTCATAGGTGTCATGAATACTTCACTAACACTTTGTCAATCCAGATACTGGCTTGTCATCTTCAGAAGGCTGGAAATGTTAATATAAAAACTGCTAGTTACCACAGCTGAGTGCTAACCTGCTGTCTGATAATGGCTTTTCTGTCAGTTCTGACTACAATTCCTGTATGCCACTTTCATAACAAAGGTTTCCTCTGCTCATATATCTGGTTTCCAAAGTTATTCACAAGAAGAAATGATCTAGAGTGTCTGTTAGTGTAGATTAACACAGTTCCATTTATAATCAGAAAAATGAAGTCAGATCACACAAGTTAAGGAATCCTAAACTACGGAGAGAAACCAAGACTATTCTTCTATATAGGTCTGTCTACCTCCTGACATTTTTCAATAGATCACCTGAGCTTCTTGGTTAAGACTTGGTAAGCGCCTATGCTGTTCGGCTGGGTGTGTACCTTTTCAGCTATTTGCACATTTGGGGAATACCTGTTAACAGTATTTATAACTTCCTTTGTTAATTGAAATTCTAATATATTATCTTAGTGACTTATGTGACAGCTATCCAATAAGCGAATTGTAGCAGCATCATGAAGATAAGTGACTTGATACAGAAGCTTCTGTAACCCATAAAGAACAAAGCCTAGCACCCATAAGTAACACAGCCTTTTGGACGATGGGTGGCTAGCTATCCATTACACTATTTGGTACAATTAATCCAGAGGAATTAAGTTACTCTTGAGGTGACAGCAGAGTATACAGAATGACAAGACTGAAACTTTCTGTTGCGCAGTGTGTGGCTGCCTTTTTTTTCCCAGTTCTCTGCACAGTTAAGCAAGCTTCTGGTTTGCTTCCAGTCTGTTTAATTAAGGTGTTTTAAATGTATGATAGCCATTCTCCTTTACTGAAATATTTGAAGAGCCCTCAAAAAGTAGTCACAGTTTGACACAGGCAAGTCAGTTATGCAAAGTTTCTTTAAGGTTAGCTGGCTTAATTATTGTAGCTTTGATTCCAGAGGTTTCGAATTAGCTGCTGACTATTCAAAAGGACTACAGGGGTTAGTCCTTCAAACACAGCCAAGCACTTCTTTCTCTATATTGATGAGTTACTGTTCTGACTTCAGTGGGACTCCTCACATTAGTAAGAACTCTATGGAATAATAAATGTTAGCAGGATACCGACCTACATAAGGTAACAGCAAAGCACCTTAGAGATTTCCCATTGTCCTAAAGTGCTTTGGTTAAAAGGCCGCCTAAGAATGCACGTTGTACATGAAACCTTACCGCTAAAGCATGCATGACTTTTTAAGCCCTGAATTAATTTTCCCCAGATTTGGACTGCTTTGTTACTGAAGGGACCATGCATGTTGCCTCTGAAGATTCCTGCTTCAGTATTTATGTTCATTTGGTCAGCCCACTAATTAATGAACCAGGGAGCTCCAGGACTAGAAATACGACTTAAGCTAGAGGGCCAAGGCTCTCTGGCTTGACTTGTAAATAACCTACATCCCTTGAGAACTCTACTTAGAAGGAGAGAGGTCCAACATTGCTGTTGAACACACAACACTTACGCAGTGTCAGAATGTCATGATCAGAGGTATGTGAAAGTATCCATAATATCCCAGCAAATTTAAGAAGACCAGTTTTTAAACTGAAATATTAAATTTGGTTTATTCTTGCAGAAGGATTTGGGTTTGGGTTGAAACTATTCACATTAAGCTTTTTCAGTAATTTTTTTGGGGGATCCCAGAAGTATATTGGCTTCTGGAACTGGAAAGGAAACAGGCTGCTAACCTGAACAGTGTACATAATGTACAGGCTCTAATCAGACTAAAATCTGAGACAATTATTTAGTCATCGCTATTCCTGAATTCAAATCCTGAACATCACCTAATCCTGATGGTCACCTAGTCATAACAATTAAGAGAGTTATCCATGCTGTGTAAAAACATTTTTAAAAGGATTTTTCTAAATAACTCATAGGAAATATTAATATTTTTTCTGACCTTGCAGGTGAAAGGGGCTTTTAAAGTATATTTTCAGAACTGTTCCCCCAGTCATACATGCATGTAAATGTATAAGATCTTACTTGTCCCTGTCCAGCGTGAGACAACATTGAAACTTCTTTTCCATATGCTTGATTTTCTCTTTAATTATAGTAAGAAAGTTATTAACATCACAAGGCAAAATGAAACGACTGGTATCTGATAATTCAAACTTCCTGGGTTGTCCAAAGTAATCAAGAAAGCGTCTGTTCATGGCATGCCAGAGCCTACAGACATAGTAGAAGCAGTGCCAAAGGACAGAAAGAAAAAATGCATGGTTTTAGAAGTGCACCAAAAGTGAGAAAATGTCTGTCTACATTTTCAAGTTCTGAAGCACTGTTCTAGAGTTCAGTATGGTAGTCATAAAAAAAAAAAATCAATGAAACTGAAGCTCGCTGTTTATAATGTAAATAAATTGAGAGTAAAAAAATCTCAGAAGGATGTTGTAAAAATCAGAAAACAAACAAACAGTTCATCTTTATTATTACAAAACTAGGGAGTAAAGGCACCAATATTCTGAATTGCTCTTACAGTAAGGTGCTGCCACCAGAGCAGGATCTACATAAAATTTCCTCACTGATTCTCCCCAAAACCCAAAAGAAACTCCATCAAATGTCCTTGTTAGCCAAGAAGGAATTACAGTTGTTTATAAAGCATCTTCAGACTGCAATGGTTTAATTGTATAAGCATGTGTTAAATGTAATGTATAGGACTCATGTCAATTTAACAAGTATTGAAAGCTAAAATAGGATTAGAACAGGAGGTGATTTCTGAAATGATGGGGCCGTTACCCGTACATTCAAGGTCACCTTGCTGAAAGAAAATTACAGTCTGCAAAAGGTCACACTTCCTGAGAACAGTGGAAGTGTTACATTAAAAAAATAGTTCTTTTGGGTGCAGAACAGAAAATGAATGCAATGTTGTATTTTATTTAAGTTCTAGCCTATATACAACTCCAGCAAGAAGAGGAACTTTGGAGACTGTTCAACTGAATGGCATAGCAGTAAGAAGTATTAGTCATTTTTGACTTGACTGAACCATCAATAGATGCTGTCACTACCACATTTTTCTCCTCTTCATGAAGTAAGTCAACCACTTCAGTGGAGTGTGCCCGCCGTCAGAGCTCCTTCATTTGCTGAGGGAAAAAAAGCAACATAACCACATTTCAGGCAGTTCTGTATGCCACTATGGTTGCTAGCTTAGTGGATTTATCAGCATGGCTTTCTGAAAATTAAGAGGTGAAAGAGTAATCCCTCCATGAAACAGCCTGAAAATGGCATGTAGTAGAAACACCACTCAGGGAACATGGATAAATTGATTCTTAACATAGCCTCTTTGAACACAGTGGAACAATGCTAGCAGCGTTTTACTTATGTTTTTCTTGTTTTTCACAGCACCGAGTTATTATTTCAAGCAAAAGACATGACCTTTATGTGCAGGAAACATTTTTAGTCCCCATAAAGTTCTGAATCTATTTTTCTCTGTTTGTCTTATCTTGGGATACTGTTCAAGTTAAGAAAATCTGTCAGATTTTTCCTTAAATTTTTTACTATTTTGTGGGTCTTCTAAGAATGAGGCAATGCTCCAGTGCCTAATATGTCTCTCTGGTTAAGTAAGGAAAAAGCAAAACATCAGTAACTTTCATTAGTGCTACAAATTTACTCATTGCTACCATATGTTTTTGGTAAACACTGGGCAGAATGAAGCAGAGATTTCAGGTCATTGAAAGTTATTTTTAGGTGAATGTCACTATCTCATTGTCAAGCACAAAGTAGAAAATAATGGACTATTCATTAATATGCAAAATATATATACTCTTTGTGAGCAATGTGTCATTAACTGGATAGGTTTGAAATGGAAAGAACGTAAGGTTTTTTCTTTAAATGCCATGAGTGAAAAATATGACTCATCCTGTCAAGACAGTTATGTGTTGTGCAAACTAGGTATGAGACCTTCCTGAGGATTAAACTGTTTTTCAGTCCTGGTAAAATGGACAAAGTTTAATTAATTGCATACGTAATGAAAGCTTAATATTTTACAACCTTTTAGTGCACTCACGTGAAGCTAAAATCAAAGAACCATTTTCCTCATGA